ACACATCCTGAGCCATTCTGTATCTTTGTATGCCCTGTAAACATGTAGTCAGAATCATAAAACAAGACAAGCTGCAAGCTATAATGTTAATGAACTTCAGGTTAAAAATACATGCCATCTACTTACAAGTCACAGTTACATCAACATATGATTTCAGAGTTGTGTCCAGATGTTTTACTGTACAGATGTACTCCCCTGAATGTTCTGATGTTACATTATGGATGACAAGTGTAGCTGATCCAGTGTCATTGTGCAGCTTTGTGTTAGAACTAAGTTTAGACCACATAATCACAGATGGAGGAAAGCTTTCAACACTGCAGGTCAGATTCAGAACATCTCCCTTCCTCACAGTTGTATTCCCAATGATCTGAGCAGCCCTGTTATCTGTGGAGAATATTTAGGTGGTTTATTTAAGGAGTTCGGACACAACACTGGCATGTAATCATTCTTCACAGCGTCAACTGCAAAATTAACCTGGAAGATGATAAGGCTGCTGATGACATCACTGGTGATGTTATCCAGTAATGTGACAATGTGTGGTACTTACATATTACTGTTATGGTGACGTTTTCCTTTAGGGTATTGTTCATATATTTAACTGTACAGATGTACTGTCCAGAATGATCCGGTTTCACATTTTGAATGAAAATTGTAGCTGATCCAGTGTCATTATGCAGGTTTGTGTCAGAACCAAGTTTAGACCACATAATCACGGATGGAGGAAAGCTTTCAACACTGCAGGTCAGATTCAGAACATCTCCCTCCCTAACAGTTGTATTCCCAATGATCTGAGCAGCCCTGTTATCTGTAAAATACATTTCAGTGATTTCAGTGTTATATTTATGGAGAGGGCAAGTTACACCGACATGTAATAATTCAACCAGAAAAATGAAGGATAAGAATGATAACAACGCGAGTTTAATTAATGCAAAGTGTAAAATGCCACAAATGTCAATAAAATGCAAATTACAATTTGGTCACCGTATAACATCAAAATAGTTTTCAAAAGGCTCCTAATATATTTCCTCTTACTTCCCCTGTATAGTGCAGTCGACAGTGTTCCTCTTTCTAAACAAAGTTTTACTCTACATCTATAAATAAAAGATATACATTTGTACATCGTCTTCAACTTATTAAAATTATTTTAAATGACATTTTTGAAAAGTACAAGTCGTCAGTGGTATCACTGTCTAAACATTTCAAAGCCAATATACACAGATGTTGAGATGATATCACATATTTAACGAGGTGTGGCTGTAAGAGTTATTCAAAAGAATTACACTAATTTAAATGCACCATTTCAGGTACCAGATGAAAGGAATATGACCACTGCTAAAAATGTTCTCCTTAAAAGCACAAAGTTGTGTACTTACATATCACTGTGATATTGACATCCTTCTTCAGGGTATTGTTCATATATGTA